CAGGATAAAGGCAAGGAGGGGGGGAGACACATTCAGAGTTGCAAGTTTCTATCACTGTAAACCTATGATAAAAGCAATTTCAGCATACATGATTTTGGAGTTCAAGTTCATCTAACTTTTAGGGCTGACAGAAACATATAGGATATTCTACCTGAGAGACCGCCTCCTGCCACTTACATCCCAACGACCAATAAGATCGCACAGATTGGGCCTCCTCCGGGTGCCGTCGACCGGACAATGCCAGCTGGCGGCTCCCCGGGGGAGGGCCTTCTCTGTAGCTGCACCAGCCCTATGGAACGATCTACCCGTAGAGATCCGGACCCTCCCCACTCTCTCAGCCTTCCGTAAAGCCACCAAGACCTGGCTGTTCCGGCAGGCCTGGGGCTGTTGATCAATATCCAGCCCCACCTTGACAGAAGGGATGGTGTGGAATTTTAATAATTGTATCTTTTATTTTAATTTTTAAATGCTTTTTTTTATCGTGCCTGTAAGCCGTCCAGAGTCCCAAGGGAGTGGGCGGCATACAAATTTCAATAAATTGAAATTGAAATTGAAATATTGTGAAATCTATACATATAACACTGAAGATTCTTATGCAATTTTTTTTAATGCTTCACTATAATTTTCCAGATTACCTCTGTTGGAATATATCTTTCAAGTACAGGAAGTCCTCAGTTTACAACAGTTCATTAGTGACCGTTTGAAGTTACAACAGCAACGAAAAAAGTGACACATGGCTATTTTTCACTCTTAGGTCCACTACAGTTTTGTGATCAAAATTCAGACTCTTGACAACTGACACATATTTATTACAGTTGCAATGTCCTGGGGTCATGTGATTACCATTTGCGACATTCTATCAAGCAAAATCAATGGGGAAGCCACATTCACGTAACAGCAGAGTTACTAATTTAACAACTGCAGTGGTTCACTTAACAACTGTGGCAAGAAAGGTCACAAAATGGGACAAAATTAACTTAACAAGTATCTTGCTTAACAACGGGAAGTTTGGGCTCAGTTGTGGTCATAAGTCAAGGACTACCCATACTGACCAACTGTAAAGCTAACAATGCATTTAAATTAAAACCATCCACTCCTCCCTTTGTCCTATAAAACTTAAAATGAAAGTAAATTCCAACCAATACGGAAACTGCACTTACTTGCATTAATGCCAAGGAGAGCCGCTACTGAGATCTGTGCTGGTGTGAATACAGAATAACAGAGTTGGAAGGGACCTTGGAGGTCTTCCAGTCCTACCCCCTGCCCAATTTTTGTTCTACAATTAGCCTAAGGATGAATCAAGACAGTGTTAAATCTGTTCCTACACTCTGGACATCCTTTCTTGACTTGAGGAATGCTTTCCTATATTACTACGAGTTAAGTTGCCTAATTTAAATAGATGAGATATTCAAGACCAAAGAGCTTTTCTTTGTCCTATTATCTGTAATCTTAGATTACAGATTCCAA